ACATATTATGTCTGTTACGTTTAACATATCATTGTATACAGTGTGGAACAGCCAAATGGAATAAATTCAGTATCTCCATTATTGTGCATTTATTTAGAAAATCCTGAGACACGTCAATTTATAATTCTAAAATGACATCTTCTAAAAATGTCATCCCTAACTTCAACCCCTACATTTTCAAATTGGAAGTAGGGGCTTGTGATACTTCATTTGAAAGGTCTTTTCATTCTCTATTCAAAACTGCTATACGTTTAAATTTTATTGCAGAAATTAACAACAAAAAAAGATAAGTTTCTCCAGCGTAGAAAATTCGATATATTAAAATAAAACTTTTATAAGTAACACTATTTGTCAATTTTAGGTTCTGAAATGTTAATAATAACAAAAAATAAATGTCTGCAATTGCCGACTATAAGATAAAAACTTACTAATAAATACGTAAAATTTTTTGCTTGACAATCGAACGACAAAAACGAGCAAGCAGCAAAAAACAAACCTGAAATATAAGAAGTTGGATATTATCAGCTTTAGTGAAATTACCTAGAAACGTGCTTGTTATTGTAACAGTAGTTAACGGTTATCAGTGTTAAACTTTTTGCTTTAGTTTTCGTGTTGCAATTCAGAGAGATGGTTTCCCTAATAGAAATGCATAAGATAACGATTCTGCAGATGATTGGTTACGGAGACAGAACACGAACGCAGGCCGAAGTTGTTCGCCTATTTCAAGAAAAAATATTCGGAGTTGCCGCCGATATCTCAAGGTACCGTAAGTAAAATAGAGAAGCAGTTTTGGGAACGTGGACATGTACGGCAGCTAAAGAAAAATCCTCCCAATAAACTTAGTGATGATCAGAAATTGGATGTAATGCTTATGCTTGAAGAAAATCCACATACGTCGAGTCGTCAAACAGCTTCAGCATTAAATATTAGCCATTCCTCAATTCTCCTCGTATTGACAGAAAATTAGATGCACCCATATAAAGTGGTACCAACTAATGAGCTAGCGGAAGACGATTTTGATAGACGAATTCCCTTTTGTGAACAAATGATGCAAATGATAGATGACAATACTTTAGAAATGTTTTATTTTGGGATGAATCTACATTTACACTTCACGGCCATGTTAATCGCCAAAACTGTCGTTACTCGTCGAGAGAATCCTCACTGGATGAAGGAACTACACACGCAAGACCCTGAGAAAGTTAATATTTGGGCAGGCATAATTGGAGAAAATATCATTGGTCCCTTCTTCATTGACGGCAATTTGAATGGAGAAACTTATTTAGCGCTGCTACAAAATAATGTTATACCAACGATGGCAAACTTGTATCCAGCTGAAGGAAACCCACAAATTTCAGGTAATGCAATATGGTTCCAACAGGATGGTGCACCAGCACATTAGGAAGTCAATTTCAGGCAATATCTCCACACAATATTTCCAAATCCCTGGATAGGGAGATGTGGTTCTGTAGAATGGCCTGCGCGATCACCTGATCTCACGCCGTTAGACTTCTTCCTATGGGGATATGTAAAAGTATGGTCTATAAAACCAAACCCGACGATTTAGCTGACTTAAAGGGGGTGTGAACCAAAAATTAAAGTTTTAGTGTGAAGAAATCTAAGAATAAAAATTCAGACCTCGTTGCTCTACGATGAACCGTTCGTGAGATACAGCATTTAAAAGCATTATGCACTGATATCGTGACGTCCCGGGGACTTCCTCTAGTCTCTAGTCAGAGCGCGCAAAATGGGGCGAGTGCGGGGCGAGACTATTATTATTATAGATACGTCGATACGTGTAATATCTACATGTGAATTGATTAGGAACATTTTAACAGATATTTACTTAGGTTAACATTGTAAAATGGCTTTTGGCTTTGAACCTAGGTTTAACAAATTACGTATTAAAAAATGGAAAATTGCTAAGTTATATTGAAAATAACAAAGTGAATCACTGAATATACTTACAGGGTTTGTCCGGAAAGTAATGTCAGTGAGCTTTGAAAAATGGTTTTTATTGGTTCTATGTGTACAAATCTTTAGAAACTTTCAAAATACATTCCTCCTGCGTCCACACATCGGTTCCAGTGGGTCTTCCATGCATCAAAAGCCGCACGGTAGTCGTTTTCCGGAATCGCCTTTAAAGCGTCGGTGCAAGCCTTCTGAATGTTTTTCACCGACCCAAAATGCTGTCCTTTCATTGGGGTTTTGAGGCGCGGAAACAGAAAAAAGTCTGGGGGGGGGGGCACATCGGGGCTGTAGGGAGGCTGGGGAACAACGGTGATGCCTGCCTTGACAAGGTAATCGGCCACGAAGAAGCAGGTGTGCGAAGGCGCATTATCGTGGTGAAGCTTCCAGGATTTTGAGATGTCTGGGCGGACGCGATTCACCCTGCGTTTCAGCCGCTTCAGTACCACGACGTAAAACTTTCCGGTTACGGTTGTCCCCTGCGGAACGAACTCATGATGAACCAATTCCCGGCAATCAAAAAAGACAATCAGCATTGTCTTGATCTTTGACCTGGACATCCTGGCCTTCTTGGGGCGAAGGGAGTTCGACGTGTGCCATTCCGCACTTTGCCTCTTCGTCTCCGGATCGTATTCAAAGACCCAACTTTCGTCACCAGTAATGACCATCAAGGAAAGCGGGGTTGTCTTCGCAGGTGTCCAAAAGTTCTTGGCAGGTTTCGAGGCGCCTCGCTTTTTGATCGTTCGTTAGCACTTTTGGCACGAGCTTCGCGCACACCTTCCTCATTCCTAAAGACTCCGACACATTTCGTGAACAATGGTTTTCGAAATGTCTAATGTTTCGGAAATTAAACGGACACTTAGACGACGGTCAGTGTTCAACAAGTCACGCACACGTTTCACATTGTCGTCGGAACTGGAGGTTGATGGCCGTCCAGCGCAGTTCTCGTCGTTGATATATTCCCGACCTTCTGCAAAGGCCTTGTGCCACCGGAAAATTTGCCTGTCCGAAAGACAATCGACGCCGAAAGCCTTCTTCAACATTGGAATGGTTTCCGCAGCGCTTTTCTCCAGTTTCACACAAAATTTGTTCGCCATCCGTTGCTCAAGCGAACGTTGCATTTTTTCTTGCACCGGGTCACTGTAACGACTCTCAAAGAACGAGTGATGCGACCTCTACAACGACCGGTAGCCAACTGACGCTTGTTGGATCTTGTTTCCAGATCCCCCCCACCACAATCCCAGCACGTAAAGCGCGGGCTGGAGCGTACAGTCTCGGGAAAAAAAATCACTGATATTACTTTCCGGACAAACCCTGTATGTCAGGAGCGGTACTTTTTTATATAGATCAAATTCTAACTTATTTTCAGAATTTCTAACAACTAATCTAAAAATGGTAATTGTTCATTTTTTCAACTTCATTCGTAAACCTTATAGTTGGGGAAACGATCACTTAATTTTGAAACGAAATTATTTAAATTAGCCTTCTATGTAAAAAAAAATGTGAATTTGTGAAATACCCTGGGAAATACTCGAATTTTTCTTTGGTTTCGGATTCATATTTGGTCATAAAAAGATTAGAAATAATGGTAACATGGAGGAGTTATCTATTGTCATCCGATGCTGTTGCAAAAATTCTCCTTAAAAGTGAATGCTTATTGAGTGCAAAAAAGTGGTTCATTGTTAAGTAGTTAAAAGTGTTCAACCGTGAATTTGTTTTTACGCAGAAGGTTCTAATTTTCCTGTACCTATTTTTATTTTTTTAAAATCTGGACAATTGTGTGACATTTAAAATTAATAATAGCTGCTTCACCTATTGACAAGAATGTGTACTAACTGTTAAACTCTGGTGAGCTATTACAATAGAAAGATATTAAAATTTAATCCTCCCTAATCACTAAAAACATATTTTTTCACAGAGTATTTACTTAGGTATATAATAGGAAGCGGCGAAAAAATATTATCCCTGAATATTATAACTGGGAGACGTTTAGTATAATCGAACACCGGCGTTTAATCCCCATAATCTCAGTTTAATCGACATTAACCCTAACAGTATGATGCAAAGTTCGCTAGTCTTATATAAGTATAATACCAAAGCTGCCAATAAAAGGGCGGCGTGGTAGATGTGTAGATATGTACAGCCATATATTGGTGTTTGTCTAGGTTTAACAATTTCTAGCAGCCAGTCAAGCTCCGCTGACGTCACGCGCTAGGACACGGCATATTTGGAGCGGCGTATCTCCGTTAATAAATGCAATAGAGCAGTGGGATTTTCACTATTATTCTTAGATTTTTTTTCTGTACATTTTCAGTTCGTGTTGTTTTTTTGCTTCACAACCCCTTTAAGAAGAATAACACCTGCAATGAGGTCGATTACCCGCAGATGTTAACTAACGTTAGAAGACATTTCTATTTACGTCTAGGATGTTGCCAAGATGCTGGAGGCATGCATTTTGAACATCTGCTGCATTAATAATGATTTGTTTTTTATTTTAATGTAACGAATTTCCTACGCTGGAGGAACTTTATTTTTCTTGTTAATTTCTGCAATCAAATTTAAAACCATAGCAGTTTTGAATAGACAATGAAGACCTTTCAAATGAAGTATCATAAACCCCTACTTCCAATTTGAATATTTAGGGGTTGTAGCTGTCACCTGAAGGAGGTTGTATTTAGGGACGTAAAAATGTTATCCCTAATAACATTTTTCCGTCGCAAGATGTCATTTTAGAATTAGAAATTGACGGGTCTCAGAATTTTCTAAAAAAATTAATAATAATGGAGCTACTGAATTTATTCCATTTGGCTGTTCCACACTGTATATTATATGCCTATTACATCAGGGTGTCCACTTTTATTTATGTACAAATCCATATAATTATCATTTTGAAAGATAATCGATTAAACTTTTTTAGATTGATAACTGCTCCTTCTGACCCTACTTCAAGCATGCAACCCATGACCTATTATAATTCCATGCCACTAATCTGGGCTACTTAAAACTCCAAAATGTAAAATTTGTTATTTTTTGCCGCGGCGATAGCTCAGTGGGTAAAGCGCCAAGCGAGAACATGGCGATTGCTTCGAGAGCTATTATCCGCGCGGGTTCGAATCCCGCCTGTGGCAATTGGCACCTGTCACAGAGTTTGGTTGTGTGTCCTACGTCTTTTCCATGTGTATTGTCCCTCTGCACAGTTGTAATGACTCTTAGAGGGAGAATGTGGGAGAATTTCTGTGGTGTGGTTTTTGTACTAAAAATATACCGGATTGGCCCATGTTGACCTAGGGATAGCAAATATTACCAGCTAAAAAAAAACTTTGCGGAAGGGAATGCGGTGTGGAATGGTCAAACAGATAGTCCGCTGTCGATCGCTTGAACAGGGACTGGAGAGGCCGCGGCATCCAGATGTAAAACAAAAAAAAAACAACAACACTGTTTGCCTACTACAGTTTTTTTTAACAACTTTTTTTTTCAAGAAGAGAATAAACAATAGGTAAAAAAGTTTAATCAAAGGAAAATAAAGAGCCAACAATTAAGTCCATGTGATTCCGGATGACATTAGGGAGAAACACCTTATATACTTTTCGTTTATATTTCGCTGATGGGGTTTGGAGGAGCCTTGATTAACGCTATGGATTGATTTTAAATAAAATAAAATCACTTAATGATCATATTGAATTTTGGGGTTATACAAAAATCGTATAACAGGCCATAGAACTGCATCTTGAAAGCAACTGTAGGGTCAGAAGATGCAGTTTTTGATGCCCTTTAAACCCTGATTTTAAATTGGAACGTCTTATATAATACCTATTCATTACGTTTCAAAAAAAATCGGAAAGAAGACCATCCACCTATGCCTATTGATTTTATTAATGCCTACCGCGTACATCACTATACTAAAGCTACAGATAGGCTCCTTCCATATTGTATTGTATGATGCCCGTGCTGAATGGCCATAGACAGCGTTATGCGCCAGAAAACTATGCACACCTATTGCAACGTAGAATAAAATAACCTGTATAGTAGTGCATTGATGCATTTGAATTCCTGATAAATGTCTGAGTTTGGTGACACCAAATAAGTGAGCTTTCAGATATTCAAATAAAATGTAAATAGTTTTTTTAATTTTCAACTGTGTGCCATGTTAACTTATTGTAAATAAACTCTAATATTTTAGTAACCCTATAAAAATTCGACTGATAGTTGCAAATAACTAATTACGTTGACTACGGAATTCCAAAGGAGACCAAAGTCATTTTCTACAAAAAATCTTGTTTTTTTTTTAAGTAATAATTGAGTGGTACCATCCGAAAGTACTCATTACTATGGAAGCTACCAGTATAATTAACTTTTATGTGGTTCTACCACATTTATGAAACGAATAGTCTAGATTAGGTACATAATTTTTAAATTAACATTTTATAACTTATTAAATGGTAGCTGTGACCAAGAAGGCTGTCACCTCATCTATCAAATTATCATATGTTTATGCAGGATGTAGCAGAACTATACAAAAAAACTCCTAAAATTGGATTGTATTTTTAATTAATTCTTTTGATACAAAATCTAATGTGTATCATAACGTAACGGTACAAAACATATTTTTACTGATGACTGTTATTAGTTTGTATTACAGTATTTATTATAGTATTGATATTAACATAATATTAATAGTTTTATAGCAATAAAAAAGCATACATAATGTTAGAAGTCAATGCTTCTTGATTAATTCACTGTGTCAACTGTTGTTCAAAAAACTGTTGTGTTCAAAAACTTGTGACTGTTGGAATGTCACCAACACAGGATGTACCAAAAAGCAAGGTCAAGTTGAAACAAATGACATACAGACTGGACATATGACGAAAAAAAAATTAGATGAAAGTGTCTTGGTTTCCGACATATAGCCACTGGTAAAATCACTCCCCAAGTTAATATTTTTGTACCACGGTTTCATATGAAGTCGATAGTATTTTTTTGTTATATTGAGCTGAATAACATACCATTTGAATAAACTATAACATTTAAAACAGGTACAAGGTACTTAAAAAAATTTTGGTTATTACCGTCGTCCAACTTTGACTATTAGCCCATTACAAAAAAATGTAATGAAATTTCAAACTGTCCTCAAAACCTCGGCATCTTATGTACATTCCTAAAAGGTAACAAAAGTAGCGCCTTTAATTGTTAAATAATATATTGCTATTCATCTATAGCAAGTCACCAGTTTAGAGGTAATTTCCCTATGTGTGAAAATCCTGTGTTCCCTATGGAACACAGGATGTCCCAAAGAGCAAGGTCAAGTTGAAACAAATGACATACAGACTGGACATATGACGTAAAAAAAATTAGATGAAAGTGTCTTGGTTTCCGACATATAGCCACTGGTAAAATCAATTCCCAAGTTAATATTTTTTTACCACGGTTTCAAATGAAGTCGATAGTATTTTTTTGTTATATTGAGCTGAATAACACACCAGTTGAATAAACTATAACATTTAAAACGGTCAAGGTACTTCAAAAAAAATTTGGTTATTATCTTCGTCCAACTTTGACTATTAGCCCATTACAAAAAAATGTACTATATGAAATTTCAAACTGTCCTCAAAACCTCGGGCATCTTATGTACATTCCTAAAAGGTAATAAAAGTAGCGCCTTTAATTGTTAAAAAATATATTGCTATTCGTCTATAGAAAGTCACCAGTTTAGAGGTAATTTCCCTATGTGTGAAACTCGATGTAGATTATTTGTTTGTTTTTGTTTTTCATTATTATTCAGTTTACAGTAATAGCTGCGACAGAGCGTATCAAAAGGGGACAGGCAACTGTGCTCGCGCATATTAGAACAAGATAGATCTTGTGGGACCATTATGACCCGATCAATCATATTCTTTGACCAGTACGTTTCACTACTCTGTTTAGTGCAAACCCTCTGTTTAGCGACCCAAACAGAGTAATGCAACTCCGTCCATGCAGAGTATTGTAATGTAATAACCTTAAAACCTTAAAAAATGAATTTCAATAAAAATGAGGAATTTTCATTTTTTTTACGTAAGTGATTTTGTGTTATTTATTTAGTAGTCCAGGCGATCTATGTTTCGGACTGACAAAATAGTCCACAAAAGAAGTCTCAACGGTCTCATATAGAGGAGACCGTCCTGATTAAAGATCCAAGAGAAGGCGGAATCACACAAGTGGCCGCTTCATGTTTTAAATAAACAAATTATTTCTGAAACATTTTTTTTCTAATTATCTCAGACAAAAGTTGTTTATTATTAAATTTCCCATCGATATGTGGTATCGAAATATATTCGATTATTGCAAAGTTAATTTTTTTAATGAGAAATCGAGCAAAATTTGCGAAAAAAAACAATTTTTTTCGCAAATTTTGCTCGATTTCTCGTTAAAAAAATTAACTTTGCAAAAATCAAAACATATTTCGATGGGAAATTTAATAATAAACAACTTTTTGTCTCTTGATATTTTTTCGTAAAACGCATACTTTTCGAGATAATTCGAAAAAAATGGTGTTTCAGAAATAACTTATTTAAAACATGAAGCGGCCACTTGCGTGATTCCGCCTTCTCGGATCTTTTAATCAGGACGGTTTCCTCTATATATTATGAAACCGTTGAGACTCCTTTTATGGACTATGTTGTCGTTTTTTGATACATTTTGACATAGGTCGCCTGGTCTATATCTCAATATAACAATTACCAGTTTTTACCGAATATTCTGCAGCAAAAATTTGGAAATTCAAAAACACCCCAAGATTGTTTTACAGATTCAATTATTCCTAATGTAGATATGTGATTTAACATTTTAATACTTTTACCGAGAAAAATGTAATTAGTTTCAACAGTCACTAAGTTAATTAGTAAATACTTACTTATAATAATTTATGCAAATATATTTGCATATGAAATTCTGAACACCTGTTTATAAAAGCGTATGACAGTAAGTTTGTAAAAAAAATTAAAAATCAGACGATAGTAATACTAAGACTGGTTCTGTAAATAGGCAATGAAGGAAATGAGCTGATATTTAAGTAAACCTAACCTGAGAAAGTAGATGCTAATGCCTCTGAAACATATTATAGTTGAAGAAACATTTGCCGATTTGTAAACGCCGAGTTTATAAATTAGCGAAAAAAATATTAACATTTTCTTAAAAGATTTACGCGTAGGGTTTAGAGGCACATAAATATAAAATATTTACATTCTCATTGCTCGTCATCAAAAAGAAACAAACAAAATTCCTTGTATAATTTTATATAAGGATTTTTTATAGAATATGTAGTATGTAGACTGCAAACAGTTATATAAAGTTAGTTAGTAAACGAAATAATTATGAAGATAATTAAAGCCCAGTTTGAATCTCCTGATGATGCCAACATGGTTGGCGAAACACGCGTTGAGTACAAAATATGTGTTGGTGTTAAGTGGTGAAAAGTATTCAAATGTGTATTAGTTTCTACGCCGAAAGTTCCATTTCTCCTCCTGTATTAAAAAAAGTTGCAAAATAATAAACATAAATATATCTTAATATATACGAGTATCACGAATTTTTATTTTGGTTACACAAGTATCGCGATTTCTCGAAACTAATTTGAAAGGTCTCTTTAATATTAAAATAAAAATTTCTCAGATTTTGGATCCCTGCATATTATTAACTATTTGATATTAATCGAAAAATACGAGATGTGACAATTGTTACATTATAATACTGATTTCAAGCATTTACTTAATTTTATAAATAATACAATCTAGCTGTGTTCCCCTTCGATATACTTCATATTCCTATCTATACACCGTCGAATACGCTTTCTCCATTTCAAACGATTCTGGAAATCTTCAGAAATGATGGTGCCGTTTTTTCTGTCCCTTGAAGATTTCAGAACTAATTCTTCTCAAAGACTCTCTGCCTTTTGGGCATAGGAAAACGTCATATGGAGCCAAGTTCGACTGATACGGGGAATGTTCGAGTTTAGGGATTCTTTTTATCGGCTAGAAATTGTTTAACAGCCAAAGGGTTGTGGTCCGAGGTGTTGTTTCGGTGGAGGATCCAGCCATTGCTTTTCCACAGATTCTTAAACGTTCCCTTAATTTTTGTTGAAGGTAGTAAACCT